ATAAAACCATTGACTTGGTACATTCACAAAAGTTTCGCCGGCATCGTCAGTAAAAGGCGCCATCGTTAGCATTCATTTGAAACTCCTCAAAGTGACGCTGGTGAAACTTTTGCGAATGCGTCAGGCCAATGGTACAATGCTATAAATCCCCAAAACTATGGTAGAGGACAAGGGACTATATACGCTCCAAAAGGTATCTCTGATGCTCCGACCAAGTTGCCGAAACAAGGTCAACCAACATTATAAAGTCAAAGGAGACTGCGACCAAAGAGAAGGCCACATCATCTTGGTCTTCATATCTACGAAGCGTCTTTTTGTTACGAAAAACTGACCGACTTGGGTAACATCTTGACCAGCATGTGATACATAATTTCAGTTTTATAAATGGATTTAGAGATTACAAGTAGAACTGATAGGAGAGCTATATTCACCCTACTTCGATGAACGTAATGAAAATATGGTAGTTGAATTTTGCCACATTAATATGACTAAAACTGACGTTTCTGTTGAATTTTGCACAGCCTTGATTTTTTAAAAGGTCTTCTCATCATTGTACTCAGTTTCCGTCTCGCCTACCTCTTATCAATATCCTCAGCGGGACTCGAACCATGGTAGTTCAGCGTTTAATCTCAACACGTTAACTAATACGCCGCATTGCCACGAATGCCCTCGAGTCACAGGACAGATATGAATTTCAAGGATGGTGAGGCATTCTCCAATATCACATTCTGTGGTGGGATTGTCGATGATGCAAGTGTGTATTTGCTATAGCAATCGAAGAGTTTATTTATTTTTCATTTTTAAGTAGGATTTTCGAATCTGTCATTAAATCTGGCGATTGCTTTACAGTAGGGGAAGATGACACGGCGATTAAGCGTATCATGTTGCGCTCAAATACAGCTTTTTCGTAGACTCCCTCGTGGTCGACCAAGTTACAAGGGCATTTACGAGGAGGTTATTCGCAAGAGTAAGAAACAGACCAGTTCATCAGTCCTGCCTAGGAGTTGTTTTGTGGTGCTAAGAATGGCGAGACTCACTGACGATGCCGGCGAAACGTCTGGGAATGTACCAATTCTACGGTCCGACTTTGGAAATGATGATACATACAATGGACTCCGGACTAGGTGTGTTCATCTAAGTCTTCCTACCAATATGACCGAGTTGTGAAAACA